GGATTAATGAAATGGTAATCACAGGGAGAAAGTGAGCAGAATGATGTGACATTGTAGATAAAATAACCGTTAGAAAACAATGTATGAATTACTGAATGGAAAACCAATTTGTTCTATAGACCTTTGCCCAAATCATAATAAAAGGCTTTAAAAAAAAAAAAAGAAAGAAAGAAAATAGCATTTTTTTTTTAAAAAAGGAAATAATGGAAAAATCAATGGGAGCAAAAACACAGGCAGTGAGAAGAGCGCTGTTACACAGTGAGGATTCCAATCAATGCCATGAAAGAACATGTCTCTAAATTGCTGAATGGAAAAGCCTAACTTGCTCTGCAAAAGTTTCACCAAAATATAATAAAAAGTTAAAATCAGTGGAGCAAAACAGAGAACTCAGAAGTTATTTAACTGATTTTTTACAAAGATGTCAAGGATTTCTTTTGGGGCGAGGATAATCTTTTCAACAAATGGTGCTACAATCACACGTTCATATGCAAAAACCAAAACAAATTCACTTAGGTGCTTTTCTCATACAACACACAAACTGGATCACACAACTAAGTAAAAGAATGAAAATGTGGCTGATGGATAAGCAAGTGTATTTTAAGTATGATGCAAGCACAATCCATAAAAGAAAAGCTGATAAATTAGACTTCATAAAACTTAAAACGTCCATACTTTGAAAGCCATCATTAAGAGTATTACAAGTAAGTTACCAACTCAAAGACAGCATTTCCAGATCACATATTTGATAATTCAGTTTCCAGAATATGATATAAACTTAAAACTCACCGACAACCCAAATTCTTAAATGGGCAAAAGATTTTGATAGTTTGACAATAAAAATACACAAATAGCTAATTCTTATACTTTAAACAATTTTCAACATCATTAGGCATTTTTGTTAGGTACTATAAAGTTAACTGTGACTCACAGCAACTCTAAGAACATTAGATCAGACCTGAACCATGCCTAGCCCGTGCTGTCCTCAGGATCTCTGTGCTGCTCAAACCCAATGTGGTAATCACAGTGTCAATCCATCTTGTTGAAGGTCTTCCTCTCTCTCTCTGACTCTCTACCATTCCCAGTATTCAATCTCCCTCCAAGAACTGGTTCTTCCTGAAAATATGCCCAGAGTGAGTGAGACCAAGTCTCACCATCACTGCCTCTAACAGTACTCTGTACGCATTTCCCTCAAGATATTATCTGTCTCTCATTAAGTATTGTTATGTGTCATCAAATTGACTGCGTCTCTTAGCAACCCTATACACAACTGCTCTAAACCCTGACCTATCCTTAGTCAATGCAACTGTCTCCAACACACCTGCACCTATTCCCCTAGTCATTGTATCAATCCATCTCATTTAGGGCCTTCCTCTTCTGCATTCCTCCCCACCCTTTCAAGCTTGATGTCCCTCTCCAAGAACTGGTCCCTCTTGACAACATGCCCAAAGTATGTGAGCCAGAACTTCAAAATCTTTGCCTCTAGGGAACAAACTAGTATCACCTTCTCCAGGACAGACCTGTTTGTCCTCTTGTCATTCCATGGTATGTTCAATACTCTTCTCCAGCACAACTCAAAGGAATCAATTCTTCCATCATCATTATTTACCGTCCAGCTCTCTGAGGCACAGCAAAAACCATGGCCTGTGTCAGGCATACCTTAGTCTCTGGACTGACATCTTTGCACTTTAGCACTATGGAGAGGTCCCTGACAGCAGACTTTCCTAATCCAATTCATCTTTTGATTTTCTCGCTATTGGTTCCAAGGATGTTGATTGTAGGACTGAGCAAACTAAAACTATTAACAACCTCAATCTCTTCTCCATCCATTACGTGCTGCCAATCGGCCCGGTGGTGAGAATCTTTGTCTTCTGGATGTTGAGCTTCAATCCATATTGAAGACTGTAGTCCTTGATCTTCTGCAGCAAGTGCTTCAGGTCCTCCTCAGTTTCAGTAAGCAAGGCTGTGTCATCTGCATAACTCAAGTTGTTGATGAGTCTTCTTACAATTCTGATGCCACATTCCTCCTCATAGAGACCAGCCTCCCAAATGGTCTGTTCCACATATAGATTGAAAAGGTATGGAGACAGGATACATCCCTGACATACTCTTTTCCTGATTTTGAACCATGTAGTGTTTCCTTGCAGTGTTCTGACGACTGCCTCTTGGTTTAAGTATAGGTTTCACAAGAGCACAATCAGGTGTTTTGGGATTTCCATTCTTCTCAAGGTGAGCCACAATATGTTGTGATCCACATAGTTAAATGCCAAAACATAGTCCGTGAAACACGGATGTCCATTGTTCTGTTACTCTCTGCTTTCAAACAAGATCCATTTGACACTGGCAATGATGTTGGTGGGACCAGAGTGGGAGGATGGGACTGTGGCACCCATGACAGAGGGGGAGCCAACACTGAATCTGTTAGCTGGGTAATGGAGAAAAGATCTTTCATCTGCCTTTTTGGGTAGAATGCTTGTCTATCAGATATTACTTTAAAGTATGACAGACTAAAATGAAGGACTTGTCATCTACTTCTGAAATAACAGGCCTTCAAAAACCCTATGCACAATCACAATAGAGCACACTTAAGATTTGACTAGCAGATATGGTACTAAAAAGGCCTCGTATCCGGAAACACAAAGAAGAGGAACAGTTCTAAGCAGACATTATTACCAGAATGTGGAACGTGAAGGTATGAATGTAAAAAAATTAGACATTGTTAAGGAAGAAATAGAACACCAAATATTGATATACTGGGCATTGGAGAACTTAGATAGATTGGCTTGGGGCAGATAATCATTAAGTATTAGAGATATGAATATTAAAACAACGAGCTGATTGTTCACACTAAATTAAGGGGCTTTCTCACACTAATCAATTTTAGGAAAGAATAGAATGGAAGGTGAGGAGTTAGAAATTAATTTCCTTAAAACTACAGAGATTGGCATAACCTTTGGGAAGCATCTGTGTGCCTCACCAGTGGTAAGCACACTTTATCTGAAGACCACTGGCATAACAGAAGGAAACTTGGTCACACAGTGGTTAAAGCACTCAACTGCTAATCACAAAGTCAGTAGTTTACTAGTATACTAGTCACTCCTCAGGAGAAAGATGTGGCAGTCAGGTTCTGGGAAGATTCTGCAGCTTTAGAAACCCTGCAGGGCAGTTCTACTCTATAGGGATACTGAGAGTTGGAACTGACTCAATCAAGGGTTTGACTTGGGGTTTTGGCCAAAAGAAGTAACAAGAACTTGGTGACTTAGAAAGTATTTAACAAGATTTGGCAGCCTAGCAAGAAGTCACACATAAAGAAGGTGACTTGGAAGAGAAATAAATAGTTCGGTCTACAAATGGAATGGAGCTAATAAGAAAGGAGAGGAAGGAGAACTCTTGATAAGAGTTTATGACATCACCCTCATTATCATTCTCATAGTCTCTAGCATTGGTAAGAAGACAAAAGCTAGGAAGAAAGCCTCAGGGACAGCCAAGACATTTTCACCATTTAGTTAACTCTCATATAGGCTCTCAGTACCAGCCCTAAAATGACTAAAAAAGCACCATAGCTAGGCAAGTCTCCACACCTCCCTTTATAAACATTTACATCTAGAAATCATCTGCAGCAACAAACACGCAAAGCAAAGATTGCATCAGAGCTGACCACCCCAGCCTGATGTACTCAAATGACAGCCTTTGTCACAGTGTGATCACAACTGTTTATTTACGTACCTGATCTCTCACTAGAGACTGGACCTTCTTTTTTTTTTGGGGGGGGGGGAAGGACCTTCTTTAAAGCCAGATACATTCAATTTTTTATTCATCTTTGGATTCTTAGCATCTAATACAGAGCCTGGCGTATTGTGTTGTTATATGTCATCAAGTCACATTATTAAAAGGGAAAACAGTTTGTTAACCTATGGCTGCGACCTATAATTTTACAGTTCTAACTCACCTAAATAGATCTTTTCTGACATACTGTAGACAAGAAATTATTGTAAAAATGGGGTTTTTTTCTTTCTTAGAAGAGTTTCTAATCTGTAATTAAAACCCTTCTATAAAGAGTTCAGTGTCATAATGTGTTAAGGGTTTCACAGCTCACCTAAGGTCAGAGGTTCAAATTCCACCAGCTGCTCCTCTTACAAAGATTTACAGCCTAAGACCCCGATGGCGGCTCACTATGCATCAGAATTTATTCAAAAGTACTGGATTTTGGTGTTTTGTTTGCTTATATGACACATGATACTGCCATGAATAGACCCAATTGGTTTTTATTATAACACATCTAATGAGCACATGGCCAGGAGAAGACCAGTCCTTAGAGAAGGACATTATGCTTGGAAGAATAGAGGGACAGCACAGGAGGAGGAAGAGCCTAGATAAGATGGACTGACTCAGTGACTGGGGTAATGGGGATAGGTGTGTTGGAGACAGTGAGACTGGCTCAGGATAGAGCAGGTTTCAGAGCTGTTGTATATAGGGTCCCTTTGAGTTGCAGGTGATTGGATGGCATATAACAACAATCTACCTATTTAATTTTCAGAGAAATATCTACATTGAAGACGTGTGTTACTGTGGGGAGACCACCGGACTAGACAGAAACTAGGCAACTTAGTTCTGGGTAGTTCTAGTGGTTCTAGGTATGTCTTGTCTTGTTTTAACTTAAGTTTCCTGTCAGTAAACGGAAAAGGCTTAGAGTTCAGCCTCTAAGTGCCTTGGGATGTTAATATTCCATGGACCTTTGATGTAGATGGGTAAACAATCAGGAAGTGGAGATATGCCACGTGGGGAGTATTCTTATCATTTTAGTGCCACTTTATTAAAGATGAAAAAAACTAATTATTCCATCAGGATTTATTTAGTGCTTCAATTTTATAGTCATAAATAAATATAAAAAAGAAACTTTAGAAATCAGAAACTTGAACTTACAATACTAATAATTCAACTCTTAAAGTTGACACTTTATCACATAGTATATGAGTAACAAAAAACACAAAGGATAAGCTTACCTGCCAGGACACTGCTCCCAGAATCGCTGTTGCAAGAAGGCTGAAGAAAACTAACTGCTCAGAAATTAAGCAAAAATGACGCATCCCTTTAGATGCCATGATTCGATCAAGGCTGTTGTTATCTGCTCTGTGGGTAAAATATACTTTATGGCAGTCATTTAATTTGGTATGGAATCCCCAAAGAGTTAAAAGAAAAATAATATGGCAAATCATCCAGAAAATCCCAAAAATGGAAAAGCCTGGTATTACAAAATACCATAGATGAGTGTCTCTCAATTTAAATGCAGAAAGAATAAAAAATATAAGCTCAATCATTCCAATGAAAACCACTGAAAATCTTCTGCAGATTCTTCCACGGTATAAAAAGGGTTTCCACCTTTCAGTTACTGAAAGTCCACTGAAATAGATGTCAAGGAAGGGATCTGTTATTAGGCAAATGAAAAAACATGCAAAAGCAATTGGATTTTTTGGAGTTTCCAAAGAGGAGAAAAACAACAAGGTTCCAAAAATAACTAAGTTTGGAAGAGCTAGGAAAGACTTCATTCTCAGGTCAATAATCAGCATGGCCAAAGCGACAACAAGTAAGATGACACTCAGGGACTTTTCCACCAACATAGTTGTGCTAGCAATGGCAAATCCAGTAAGTTCCAGAAATTCAACCGTCGTCAGTAAAGTGGGTCGATGACGGATATAGCCAGAAATTCTCTCCACCAAAGCACATAATATCCTTAACACTATGGAAGTCAAAAGCAAGTATTTGGTTGACTCTTCTTTTACATCATCTTTAAAAGATGTATTATCAAGGAAACACAGGAGGCCAAGCAAGAATCCAAACCAAAGATTGGAGAGACTTAAACTTGCTGCTTCCATTGAAAAATAGTAATAGAGGATGCTGGCAATTCCAAGAACAAAAAGGCCAAGGATGAAAATGACCAAAATTAAGGAATTTGCTGTTTTTTCCCATCTTACATAAAGACCTAGGCATATAGCAACCAGTAAATTGATCCTGGCTAAATAGCCAAGGTAGCGCACTGAAGAATGCATGTTGACTTCTTTATTTACTTCTTCCAGTCTTGTCATTGCTAAATAGAGACAATGACTAAAGCAGTAACGCAGTGATTTACACATGTAATCTGGCGATCTGGGTTGCCCCCCAACGTTACAAAAATCAACTGCTTGTCTTTCATCCAGCCAATTCAAAGAATCCACAACTCTTCAACATTTTTTCACGTTGAATTTTTGTTTATAATGATCTGGAAAACAAAAAGAAAACGTAATTTAGTATAAAGTATATTTTATGTAATTTACCTTTCATGTGCTTCTTTCTTATACACAACAATGACAAAGTAAAAAAAATAAAATTTCTTTGGGTTGGCAGGACAACTTCTTACCACTAACCCATCAGAGCTCCCTAAACTCTATGTAGACTATACTTTCAGGGATCATTTCTATAGTTCCTCCATTCAAATATTTACATTAAGTAACACAACACAATAGTGGTCAAACAATGCTTCAACCATCTATGCAATAAATCTTCAGAAATTTATAGAACTTTTTCTAAGACATTTTTGGCTTGTGGTAACAATGAATAGCCAAGGTAAATTCAGCTAGATAAAAATTAAAAACAAAACAAAACACAACAAACAACCCACATAAGTTTTAATCAGTTTGTTTATACTTAATTTTTTTAGCAAGATAGACAATTCCCTCCCATGTGATTCACAGCCTGGGAAACACACTGGAGAACCAGTTATGATTCAGTTCAGACTTGACAGCACTAAGTCTGGGTTGCTTTGCTTTGGTGCACTTTTTCTGGTTGTTACTATTTTGATTTTTTTAGAGAAGGATGCCTTAACCCTAAATTAGCCATTGACCTATATAGGAGAATGTCACCGGATTAACTTTTGGGTCACTGAGAGGTTCCAAGTATCATTACTAATTCTACTTCTACATGCTGTACTTACTAGAAGAACACAACTATTAGACTTAGATATTGGATTTTCCTAATAGTCCTCAACTGCATTTTCATCCAGTCTTTTCTTTTTCAAAACACCACACTCTGCTTAAAAATGTGTCCTTCTTTGCTATAGTTATCTTTTCTTTTCCTTAAGTGTAAGAAATTGATAATCTGGAAAGTACTGGTTTGGTTTTCTTTTTAACATCACTCATGAGTGACCATTCAACAAATATGCTGGAATTTCACGTTCTCAAAGGGCTGCTGGTACAACTTCAGTTCAGACTACAGAACACTCCAAATTCATGAACAAGTCTGTGTTTCCATGGTCAGCATTCTCTCTTTGCTACAGAAACCTCTTTAAATTCTTCTCTTACTGAATTCCTCCAACAGGAATTCACTTGCATTTCTACTACTGTAAACCCACCTCTATGAACTACTTCCTGATATAAGAATGTCCCTTCCGTTTATAATGGAAAATCTTTCAGCCATATCTCTTTCCCTTCTGCCTCCTCCAGAATCACTCCCTACTCCAGCTCTTATCCATCAGCGCTTAAACACTTATAAATCGTTTTTTAAAATGACCTAAAACAGACCAAAAAAAAACCAAAACCAAAACCAAACCAACCCAGATACAAATCCAACAACCCAACACTTCCTCAAATCCATCTCCTCTTCCAAATTCAATCTTCTGTTCTCTTTTCTACAGTATCTGGTTGCTTTGTTTCTCACCCATTCACTTCTCAAACCACTAAACAAAGGTTCTCACTAAACAACACCAAACTGCTCTGTCAAGAATAAATAACTACACCAGTAAACCTGCCCTGGGAAGGGCACAAGTGGGCACCAAAAAAAAAAAAAGAATAGGGGAGCTCTGGTGGCCTAGTGGAAAGAAGCTGCAACTACAATCCCAGAGGTACATGGTTCGAATCCACCAGATGCTCTGCCAGGGAAGGAGGGGCAATCTCCTCCTGTACCAGTCAGATCTGATTTGACGGTACACGCACACACACACAAAAAATAATAAAATAAAAAAATTTTAAAAAAAGAATAAATAACTGTACACTCTTTATTAAATCCAAAGGGCACTTTTTAATGTTTCCTGCTCATTTTTTAAATACCAACCACCAGTACTGCTAACTCCTTCTACCTTCCAAACCCTTCTTTCTCTTGGGTATCAAACACCAGTCTTGAGATTCTCTTTAACTCATTGGTCTTTCCTTCTCAGTTACCTTGCAAGCTCTCAATTTTCAATCCACCTTTAAATGTTTACTTATAAATTAAGGTTCTTCTCTTGCTAAACACATTCTCTGAGCAACAGCATCTATTTCTATATTCAATTAATATCCCCCTACCTATCTCTAGTAGCTTAGTGCTAAGAAATAGTGCTGACAACCCAAAGGCATGCAGTTCAAATCCACCAGCAGCTCCCTGAGAGAAAGATGGCCAGTTTCCTCTCGTGCAATTAAGTGCTTCTGCAAACCTGCTGGAGGGTCCGCTAGGAGTCAATTCTAACTCAGTGGTACATATGACATTTCTTCTCCTTTCTTGTTTATACACATTTATAATCTACTTAACAGAAATAAAGATAACAACTCTTCTGCACTTCATAGAGGCAAAAATCTGTAAACAAATACATCTAAATGTGCAAATGATTTATATAAAAAAATAAATGCAGCCACCCTCTACTGGGCCAAGAATAATTTGGAAAGGCGAGCTCTGGTGGCCTAGTGGCAAAAAGCTGCACTGCAATCCCAGAAGTAAGAGGTTTGACTCCACCAGATGCTCTCTGCTGGAGAAGGAGAGACAATCTCCTCCTGTACCAGTCAGATCTGACTTGACAGTACACACACACAAAAATAATAAAAATTATATATAATAATTTGGAAAATAATAATTTCTTAATGGTTCATTTACAAGTCTTTACCCACTCTGAACTATTTAAGTCAAGTAATACGAATCAGACTAAAAGCACTGAATCATTTTCAACTGGTCTGACATTACTTACAATTCTCTAATGGGAAATTACACCAGAGACAGATCAGAAGTGTTTATATACAGTCAGAGGTATCACTCGCCATAACAGGGAAAGTTAATAATAGCCATACAACTTCATGCACTATTCAAATCCTCTTCGTTGTCACTTTCTGCATTCCATCTTCATCATATCCTGTCCATTTTACTTCCTACATACCTCTTCAATGTTTCTACTTCTCTCCATCCCCAAGGTCACCCATCCCAGTTTTGGCCACCATCTCAAACTTGAATGTCTCCCTGTATCTGCTCTTGTCCTTCCTTAACAAGGGCTCTGTCAAACCAAATTCTTCACATCACTGCTATGTAAACCCCTCCAATGGTTTCCCTTCGCCCTGCGTGATAAGATCTAAACTCTTTAATATGCTTTATGAAGCCCTTCACTTTGGACCTAAGTCTTACTCCTCATCTCTTATTATTCTTCCTCTCATGGGTTGTATTCCCACCTGATCCCTTATTATCAAGTCTTCCAATCATAGCAATCCTTAGGGTTTCCTTGGGCTGTAAAACTTTATGCAAAAAGACTACCCATCTTTTTCCATCAGAGAAGCTGGTGGATTCAAAATTCTGAGCTTTCAATTTACAATAATATCCCACCAGAGCTCCAACCCTCTCTCCCTCACTGCCAGTAAGCTGGAATTGACTCACAGCTGACACTCCATTGAGTTTCCAAGGCTTTATATCACAAAGGAGATTGCCCCTACTTTGATTCTGGAGCCCCAGTGGATTTGCACCACCAGAGAGGTATAGCCTTTGGGTTGTTGCTGTTGTAGTTGATTGTCTTAGAGTCGATCACGACTCATAGCAATCTTATGAAAAAAGGCCTAAAGCCTTTCTATAACTATCGGCATTTATCAAAGTTCACAGAGTATCTGGAGGCTTGTTGTTTAGGAAGTGGATGCCACTCCTGCTTTGGGGGTAGCAGCACTATAATCTGCAGACTAATCTACTAGAACTTTCTACAACTCAAAACTACAAAAATAGCATTTCCTTTCCAGCTACACTGTTTTTGCCTCACCCAATCTCACCCCAGTTTTTGCACCAGGATTTATTCCTACTCTTCAGCTGAAATCATTGTCTTAGGGAGGTTTTCTCTGTCCCACTTATGACTTCTACACTCTCTTTAGAGCTCTGGCGGGTTAGTGGTAAGGAGTTACACTGCCAACCCAAACGCATGTAGTTCAAATCCACCAGCAAAAAGATGGGCAATCTCCTTCCGAGCTGCTTACAACCTCTGAAAACCCAATGGGGAATCAGCTCTGCGTCATGAGTCAGTTGCCACTTGAAGGCACATAACAACAACGATGACATACTACTTCTATGGAGAGCTGATGGCTTAGTTCATAGCAAGTAAAGCTGCTAACCAAACCAATGGATGTGTGTCTCAGTGATCGGAGCTTTCTAATCGTCCAAAGAAAAAGATGACTATCTTCTCATTTGATTTACAGCCTTAAAAACCTGATGTGGGTAGGGAGTGTCACTATGTGCTGGAAGTGACTGGACAACATTGAGTTCAAGGGTTTCTAAGTACGTTCTTTTTTTTTTTTTTTAGTTCCGGTAGTACAATCCATGGCCCTGCTAACCAAAAGGTCCCATGCACCTCGGAGCAATTACCAGCTGGTACAAAAGAGAAGTGGAGCAGTGTTCTCAGTTAAGATTTACAGAGGGTCACGAAGTCCACATCTACTTGATGGAGTCAGTTCCTTTGCAATAACCAAATACTCATTATCATGTATTTAATGGCTGCATTCCCCAGGAGATGAGGTCTCTGAGGTTCTGTCTTCCTAATACCTTGAAGAAAGTCTGGTGGCTTAGTGGCAAGAAGCTGTGCTGCAATACCAAAGTCAAGCACTTAGAATCCACCAGCTGCTCCAACAAACAGGAGAAGGAGGGACATTCTCCTTCCGTGCAATTACTTGCCTCTAAAAACCTGCTGAAGGGTGGGTTCTGACTCCATGGTACACAACAAGAATTCAGAAATAATTGTATTTTAAAACAATTGCTAGAAATTGTTCTGAATGATGAGGATAAAGAACTCTCTGACATCCCAAGTTGATGAGCATTAAAGCCAAAGGAGATTTCACATGCAAGCAGTACTCCAACTTCCTTTGTTGAAAATGTCACCCCAATTCCTCCAAACCAGGGAATTCTCAGGCCAAGCCCAACCTCTCTGGGGAGTGGCTCACTACACTAGGGAATCAGGAAATGATCCAAGACACCTAGTCCTTTCAGCCCAAAACTATTTCTGTCCCACCCACAAAGGGAAAGTGCAAAAAATGAAAGGGGCTGAAAGGTCAAGTTAAAGAGGGAGAGAATTTAAGGGCTTTCGGTTCTGTCTGAATTCAAGGTAATAACTTTTGGAGTGGATCTATGAAAAGTACAAAGTTTCCAACGTTCAGTCTCTCAAGCTCCTGGGAGGGCAGCAGTTTTCTTCCTCTTCCACCTCCTTCTAGGAGCATAAAACGTAAGATGTGGAAGCTGGGGGTGACATGGTGCTGGGAGTGTGACATAAGAGCTGGGGGTCTAACAGGGAAGCTGGGGGTCTAACAGGGAAGCTGGGGGTCTGACATGGAAGCTGGGGGTCTGACGTGAGAGCTGGGGGTCTGACATGGGAGCTGGGGGTCTGACATGGGAGCTGGGGGTCTGAAGTGGGAGCTGGGGGTCTGATGTGGGAGCTGGGGGTCTGACGTGAAGCAGCTGGGGGTCTGAAGTGGGAGCTGGGGGTCTAACAGGGAAGCTGGGAGTCTGACGTGGGAGCTGGGGGTCTGACATGAAGCTGGTGGGGGTCTGACGTGCGAGCTGGGGATCTGACATGGAAGCTGGTGGTCCTTGGCCATCCCTGTACCACAGAAGAAGTGACCAGCTCAGAGGGGAAGCACTGGGCTGCAGGGTGCTCCGGCCTCCACCCCCACCAAGGCCCTGGGGGCAGGACCCCCACCTCGCACGGGCCTGCCTGAGCCCCACTCTCGCCACCCGGCCATTCACTTCACCCCCGTACCTGACTCGGCCGCGGCCACCAACGCCTTCTCAACGCTCGGAGCCTTGACCAGCTCTGTCAACGGGGGCCCTCGGGGCCGAGCCGGCACGCCGAGCGGGAATCGGCGACCCGAGGCCGCGAGCACTCGCGCAGGCCGGCCCCGTGGAAACTTTCTCCGTTACCGCCCCGCCTCGGCCGCCATGTTCCCGCCGGAGCCGGGGTACGGAGCGCCGCCCGGACCAAACTACGCAGCGCAGCGCGCTTCCGGCTGGCCCGCCCTGGCCCCGCCCACCCGCCACCGGGCTGCGAACCTGGGGATCCCGCCGGGCGTGGGTGTAACCGGGCCAACCCGAGCCCACTGGCTGCGTCCGAACCTTCGCGGACCCTGAGACCTGGAGCCACCGGGTGCGGAGAGCCGGAGCAGGAAGACCTGCAAGGACCAGGCTGGCCAGACACTTCAAGCATCCAGACCACCTCCTTGGGCTGGACCGAAACTGGGACAGAATGGGCGGGGCTGCCACAAGTGGACTGTAAATACTGCGGGAGGCTGGGCTGCTCGCGATGCATAGCTCAGTGTGCACGCGCCTTCCGAGGCCCACGTGCCTCAGTCGCCTCATTGTGGCCCAGTCTGCCTTTCTTATGCAGTCGCCACTGTAATCCACTTCACTCCATTGTGGCTGACTTGGAACAGACTCAGAGTTGGCCCTCCAGCAGGTTTCCAAGGCCAGCAATCTCAAAGGAGATTATTTCAGCTGGATTCGAGCTACCAGAGCGTTGCAGCCTTTGGGTTAGCAGCACAACTCCCTAGGGATTGCATCACCCTGTGCAATCCGCTTGCAGGGGTTCCTGCCAAGGAAAGCACCAGCCCTGGTCATGCATTCCCACTCTCCACCTCTAACTCTCTTGCATCAGTCTCCTGTTTTGAAGGTTCAGCAAACTCTAGGGCCTATTCTAAATTGTATGCTGAACACACAATTTTCTCTATTATTGGAATAGCCTTTCACCATGGCCACAACATTGAGATGATTTTGAAATTTGAATTCTGGTTTTTCTGCTTTGTGTGTTCAGTTGTTCCAGCCGTAAACTAAAGATAACAAAGCCTTTCTTGCAAACATAAGAATGTTGTTGTTATATGTCGTCGAGTCACCTGTGACTCATAAAGACCCTATGTACAACAGCTCTGAAGCCTGCCCTGCCCTGTCCTCGCTGATTCTGACACACCACACCACCTCCCATTGCCCTATTTACTGTATCAATCCTTCTCATCCAGTGTCTTTCTCTCCTGCACTGTCCTTCAATGCTTTTGAGCATGATGTCTTTCTCCAAGGATTGGTCCCTGCTGGCCACATGCCCAAAATATTTGAGACAGAGCTTCAAAATCCTAGCCTCCAAGGAGAAACTTGGTTTCACCCTCTCCAAGACAGACCTGTTCTTTTTCTTGACAGTCCATGGTAAGTTCAAGACTCTTCTCCAGCACCACAACTCAAAGGTATCAGTTCATCCTTAGTCGTTGTCCAGCTCTCTCATGCATAGCAAGTAATTGCAAAGACCATGATCTGGATCAAGAGTGCCTTAGTCTGTGGATTGACATCGTTGCTTCTCAGTACTCTAAAAAGGTCCCTGACAACATATTTACCTAATGCAATTTGTCTTTTGATTTCCTGACTGCTGGTGCTAAGAGTGTTGATTGTGGAGCTGAGCAAGCTCTAACTGTTAACCTCAATCTCTTCTCTATCTTGGTGCTGCCGATCAGCCCAGTGGTGAGAATCTTTGTCTTCTTCATGTTGAGCTTCAATCCATGTTGAAGACTACATGGATTGACCTTCTAGAGCAAGCACTTGTGAATTTAGGAATATTCACTCATACAGATCTCTCTGTATTTACAGAGATTGTTGTTATTGTGTACCATCAAGTCAGCCAACTCTTAACTGATCCTCCAGCAGATTTTTAGAGGTGGTCAATTGCACAAGAGTTGATGCTTGACTGTCCATCTTTCTCCTGCACAGCAGTTGGTGGATTTGAACCTTTGAGTTGAGAGCATAGCTTTCTTAACCACCAGGCCACCAGAGCTCCATATATATCCCCCCACCCTTTTCCTCCGAGTATAAGGTAAGGAAGCTCTAGTGGCCCAGTAAGTAAGGAGTTGTGCTACCAACCCAAAGGCAAGTGGTTAAATCCAGTCACTTGAAAGAATAAACTGGAAGGTCAGCTACGGATCTGCTCTGACTCTATGATAAAGAGTTGGGTTTTTCCTGTGGAGGGCTCCATAGAGAATTGTGCTGCTAACCCAAAGACAGTTTGAATCTACCAGTAATTCTGCAGGAGAAAGACAATAATCTCTAGTGTGATTTACAGCCTCTGAAAACCCTCTGGAGGGTCAGCTATCAGCCACTTCTGAGTGGAAGACCATGGGTCTTCCATGAGAGTATAAGTTAGTTCCGCAACAAGTCTGAGCTCCCTGCCCCTCTCCAGGAAACCCTGTCTGTCTGCTTGCTAGCCTTCTAAATCCAAGTTATTTCTCCCTGCTTGTAGCCCTAAGGCAAATCAGTTACCCTCTAGTTCTATTCCTTATATGTCAATAGCATGTTTATAATACCTGCCCCACATAATTGTTGTAAGGATTCAGTGAGCTCACATCTGTGAAATATATCTTCAAATCCCTTTTGTGGTTTCTTAAACTCTCTTCCTAGCTACAAACAAGATGCTATTAACCTGGGACCTCCCACTTGACCTTTCACCAAACCCACTCTCTGAAACCAGCTTGCCTTCATTTCCTCAAATGCAGACACATTGCTCACCATTAAACTATCATTGTGGCATAGAACTTAGGTGAATGTAGAAGTGTTCACCATTAAATCATCCTAGCATCATTGTATAGTTGGCTCTACAAATGTTTGTAAATCAAGTCACAGGTCATGATATATTTTCTTCTTCCTATCTTGTTTTCTTATCATATTTGCTGAAGTCCATTCAGATGCCTTGGGAGGTCTTATGGCAGGGTGGAACTGCTCTATCATAGGGTGTCCCATGCTGCAACCTTTGCAGGGACAGTTTGCCAGGTCTTTTCTTGTGCAGAGAATCTGGTGTGCTTGAAATATGGACAGTGGCCAAATGCTTACCTGTTCACTGAGCAGCCAGGTGTTTCATTGTGGTGCCAACATGGCTCCTTATTTCGTGAATTTTCTTTATACTTGTACCATTTCTCCTAATATAATGCCATTTAGGAGTGGGCTGAGCAGCACAGATATGGGGATGAATCATTCCAGATTCCTATATCCTGATGGAAGTGTGAGGTTTTTTTATTTACTCCAAACTCTATGCTAATTATAAATGTGATAGTTACTCAGCTCCGAAGCCTGTAGCCCTGGCTTTCTGAGGAACACAAGTTTGGTTTGGTTTGGTTTTTATTCTGATTTACTTACAAAGTTTGTACGCATTGTTTTTCATACCAAATGTTTCCCTTTTACTTTACCCATCCCTCCATTCCCTCATCAAATTGTGATTAACCACCACCCCATCCATCCTCACTCCTCTGCTACCCCGCTCTCCCCCTTGGATCCTTGAACAGGTCCTATAGTAATGATCTTATACAGTATTGGTCCTTAGAGGAACACCGGTTTTCTATTTCAAATTACTTGCTATATGTTGCTACATATTGTCATCACTTCCAAGTCTATTAAATTGATATGTACTGTTGTGGTTAGGTGCTGTCAAGTAGACTCCAGCACAGAGTCGTTCTATGTACATCAGAACAAAGCCGGCCTGATGCTGTGCCGTCCTCACACGCGTGAATCATTGCATTGTTCCCTCTCATTGAGGATCTTCCTCTTTTTAGCTGGCCCTCTCCAAAGCCTAATGTCTTTCTCCAGGAAGTGCTGGTGGTGTGCTCTGAGTTGGAATTGGCCCAATGGAAGTGGGCTTAGGAAATAATAAATCTAAAGTATGTAAGAGAAAGTCGCATTTATCATGTTTCTAAAAAGTGGTTTGGTTGCACTTATTCTAAGACATCTTTATTTGTCTGGTTATTGTGGTTGTTAGGTGCTTGCTGTCAAGTTGAGTACAACTCACAGCAACCCTCTGAGCAGTGGATCTGAAACCCATCCTATCCTGTGCCATCTTCATTGTGGCAGTCACTGGGTTCAAAGGGTTTTCCAAGACATAAGAAGTGCATGGCCAATCCTGCTTGCTAGCCTGTCTTAATCTGGGAGCTCTACTAAAATCTATCCACCATGGGTAATCCTTATGGCATTAGGCACACCAATTTGGTACAGTTTTAGCATCATAGCAGCCCACAAGTTATCTCAGTACACCAAACTTACAAGCACTGTACCAATTAGAACAATGTTCTCACTGAAAACAACAAACTACCAATCATCTTACATCTTCCAGAATTATATTGCATCAGACAGGAGCTCCAACCAGAAACTCTTGGGTAGGACCCAACTGACTTTTAATCACAAAGACCCGCTTACTGGGTACTGATTAGTTTAAACAAGAGGCTTCCAGCCCACAACTATGCCTGGCAGTTCATGGTATAGTCACTAATCTTTACCAATAGCACAATTAAAAGGCATTCATTCTTTATTTATCATCCATCTTTCATGTTCACATCTTCTTGTTGTTATTATGTACTGTTGAACTGGAACTAACTTATAGCTGATCCTATAGTGGGTTTTCAGAGGCAGTAAATTGCACAGGAAGAAATTGTCCGGTTTTCTCCTGAGAAGCTGAACCACCTACTTTTGGGTTGGCAGTGCAGTGTTGTTACTGTGAGTGCCATCAAGTCAACTACCACTCATAGCAAACCTATGAACAACAGATCTGAAACCTCTGCCATCTCTTGAGCTCATTGATGCAGTCACTGTGCCAGTCCATCTCACTGAAGGTCCTCACCTCCTTTCCTGACCCTCCACCTTTCCAAGCAAAATGTCCTCTTCCGAGGCAGTTGAAATGACCCTGGCTTGGGTCAGGTGCACCTTAATCTTTAAAATGACATTCACACTATTTCTATTACACACACATAAGATATAAAAACCCTTATATTACATCTAACACCAATAATA